CTGCCCACTAGGGATGCAATGGTACACGGTATGTTGGAGACGTTCGGTACGCCCCCTACAGTTCATCACACACAAGTGAACAGTATGTTCAGCATGCCTGTTACAATAAGCCTGTTATAGCAGAGGCCTTTTCACTGACTGACGGGCCGACTGGCTGGCTGGCTGACTGACGGGCCGACTGGCTGGCTGACTGACTGACAGGTTGACTGGCTGGCTGACTGACTGACAGGTTGACTGGCTGGCTGACTGACAGGCTGACTGGCTGGCTGACTGACAGGCTGACCGGCTGGCTGACTGACAGGCTGGCTGACAGACAGACTGACTGACTGACAAACTCGCGCATGAATGAGGGGTGTAGGTGGTCCTCAGTAGGTGGCAGTAATGCCTTCCAACCACCAATCGTCCATAAGAGAACAACTCGGCGCTGGCTTCTCGTGCTACACAGTGTCCTTGCTTGCTGTGCGTGAGCTGAGGAAGCTCTAGTGGTCCGTCAGCTCGTCATCGGCTGACTGAGCACGTGAAACCGCATTAGCCGAGAGCGAGCTGCGGACAACAAACGGAAAAAAGAATAAATAGCGTAGCCAACTTGACCACAGAGTTTTATCACTAACGATGGCCATCTGTTATTCTACTGTTCAAATCTGTGAACAGAAATTACTGTATATGAACCCGACACCGATTTCTTTTTAACTTTTCATCTTAAACGGCTCACGAAGAGTTAATTAAGTAAGCGTCACAGAAGTAAACGGGGAGAGCTGCCCCATAATTAGCCATTTAAGTGGGCTTTTAATGAATGATGGTTAATACCTCATTCCCTGTTTAAGCGGTCAGTTAAGTAGCCTATTCACCCAGCTAACGGTGTTTACTTACACTTTCTCGTGGATGTAGTAAGTTACTCGAATCCGGCCTGGACTTCGAGACAATTAACGTCTCAGACTTGTTTTCCTATAATTTCTGAACATGAGCTGGAGAAGAGAGGAGGAGCTACAAACAAATAATCTCTCAGCTCCAACAAGACGATAACGAAAGTTCGAAACGTTTGTCTTTAATGGAGGTACCAGGAGCAGCGCTCGTGACTCCAGCAGCCAGTCTTTTAGATAAACAGACAGATGCTAATGGTGAGTTATTTCTGCCTAGACTTTCTCAGGTCATATCCTTCAGCTTAAAAACAGCCAGTCAGTGTAGAGGCAGTAAACTGATGCCAAGAGTGACGAGTGATGCTGAACACTTTATTTCTTTTCATTTATGAGTGTAAAAATGAACTTGCACCGTTATTGGCTCTCCCTGCTGGCGTTCCATAGCAGCGCTCTGTTATGTGACGCAATACTACACGACACAGCGTGTCCGGTGTGTGGTGACCTTTACAGTGTCCCTCCCGCACAATTCAGCAGCTAAGTAATTCCTGAATTCTGAAACATCACAAAAAGAACCTGGAAACGAATTGGCACAGATGCCCAACCAACTCTGTTTAATGAAAGCTTAGAAACATTTAATTTTAATGTTTTTCTCTCTTTGATTTCACAAAGCAGAGACAGAAACCAGGCCTCATCGGTCACGCTGGCTTTTTTCAACATGTAAATTTGATTTCTCTACAGGCAAAATGAAGAGTTCACTGTTTAAAGAACGTTTTCTTACTGTTACTGTGGCCCAAAAACCGTGACAGATACCGAACCGTGAGCCCACTGTACCGCTGCAGCCCCACTGCCCCACCATCTAACACAAAATAATCATACAGATGTAATTTTTGGTGAATAATCTCAAAAATGTCAAAGGTCTCAAAATCTGGACTTCTAGTTTCAGGTCCTGTATTCGGTGAGCGCTCGTTGTTAACTGACCTCGATGTATCTGACTGGCCAAACAACTTACAAGTGGCTGCAAGGCCAGGACCGGACACCGGACTCAAGGTCAAGATTTGAAGACCTCTGCTTTGACTTGACCTAACTGTCCATCACATTATCAGTGTGTTCAGTGCATAGAGTAAACATCTCTTAATCGCAGTGCATTGCAGGCTGTGTTACTCTGGGGAGAGACAGACTTCATTTCTAACCACTGAACCAAACAGTGAGAGGCAGAAGACTGCAGATAGCCACACCCACACAGGGGAATTCCACCCAAAAATCAATTTTTAACAGGTTATCTTGATTGGTTGTCACTGGTTCAAAGACATATTGAACTGCTACACGCTTTGCAGGACAGAATTCACTCTGGACTTGGCAAACATTAAATCTTGACTTGGCAAACATTTCATAAAGGCATGGTTAGGGCTGGGCAATATGACGGTATATATCATTATCGTGATACACTGTCACAATACAATACAATATGCTTTTCTGAACATATTGTGTATATCGTCAGTGCTTGTAGACACTGACCAACTGCATGTTTCATTATAAAGAGAGCAAAATTAGTCCAGTTTAACTGAATTTAGTGACAAATATTGAATAAAAATCACTGCATTCACAGTTTTTGATGGTAGCTTTCTAAAATTTAGCACTACTGGTTCTTTTTTCTCTGTTTCAACTGATCAGTAAATATTGTGTATCATTAAAAAATGTCAAAGTATCGCAATATTATATTTTTGCCAAATCGCCCACCTCTAGGCATCATCCAGAGAATTTGAGACATCATACTGGCCACTCAATCAAGCTTTCAATCAAGGCAAATATGAAAATGATTTTGGGAGGGAAATCATCACTTTTAAAAGGTCTCCACGACTCTTCCAGAGCAATTTGGGAGATTCTTATTTCGTTCACAAAATGCCAAATCCCTCTGAAATAAACTTGTTTTACCAAAATTAAATCAGAAGTGACGGCTACTGGCACTGACTTTAAGCATTTAGAGGTTTGCCATTTAAGATTCATGCGGCTCAGAAATGCTGCATTTGAATTTCATTAAAAATTGAGCAGAGTTCGGGGAATTTTTAGTTTGTGCACCTTCAAATCAGTAATTATGTATTGCCAAGAAGGAGAGAGGAATGGATGAAAGACTGAAATCTCTCCGCTTCAGAGAAAAAACCTCTCACAGATCCAAAACTGTTGCAAGCAACGTGACAAGCAAGTTCTCGTATTCAGCCTACATGAAAGGAACAGATAAAGAGTGGAAGAACGCTGAGTGAAGGATAAAAGAGTAATCTAATATTCATATCGTGTAGAATTTTACATTTAATATAAAGATTCTAAGAGTTTATTACGTCTAAATATTACAGCTAACACTTTACTGTAGGGTACTGGTCTTCAGGCTTTAGGACACCTACTTAAGCTTGTCATGACAGCTGACATAACCCTACATAAATGTTTATTAATGCTTATTCCAATATGCCTCATTCGCTATAAATATTACATTTGCCAGTTTTGATCAAAGTTAGCTAAAGTAGTCTTTGTGACAGATGCTGCCTTTTGGAAAAAGCATTGATAAACATTTATGTAGGGTTATGTCAGCTGTCAGGACAAGCTTATGTAGGTCTCATGTAGCCTTATCAACAGAACCCTACAGTAAAGTGTTGGCATATTACATAAGCTTCATTAACCCAACATGTTGCCAGCGGATCGAAATGCGGCGGTTTTGTTTTTCTTGTTTAAATGTGAAATAAAAAGTTGATTCAAACTTCTGCTTTAAAAAAAAAACATGCTAATTTGCAGAGTTCTTCAAGCTCTTGTAAGGTTGCTCATCTTTGTCAGGTTCTAGCATCATCGTTTGCATAATCACGGTGTGGAACCGAGTGGACTAGAATCTGGTCCAGGCAGCTCACACACCGACACAAAATTCAAGGGTTCCTTAGTAAAGAGAATGGTTCTATTTTGAACCACGAGTTATATTCAGAACCAATTCACGCTTAAATGGCTCTTTGTATGGTGAAATGGTTCTTCGGCTGATGGAGAGTGTGTTGCATATGGTTCTAATTGGAACCTTTTTGAAAAAGTTTCTATATAACACTGAAAAGGGTTCTTCTGTGGTTACGAGCTTGACAGTGTACCAGTAGAAGAACGCTTTTTGGTGCTACATAGAGCCACATACAACACTTTCTCCATCAGTCTGAAGAACCATTTCACCATGCAAAGAACCATTTAAGCATGAAATGGTTCTATATAGCACCAAAGAAGGGTTCCTCTATTGTTACAAACTTGCCACGTAAAAAATGGCAGAACTCTTTTTGGTGCTATATAGAACCGTATACAACACGCTCTCCATCAATCTGAAGAACCATTTCACCATGCAGAGAACCACTATAAAGGACTCATATTTCTAAATAGAACCATTCCCTTTTAAAGAACCCTTGAAGAACCATTTTAGGGGCTTTTGGTGTTCCGATTTCGTACTAGGTTAAATGGGTTTTTTTCCAATGTTCTGTAGAGTTTGTCCGTCTCGTAACAGCTGCTGCAGACGAATGCATTTGTTGGGGGTGTAAAGATGGTCAGCATCCATCAAGAGAACCGAGTTCTGTGCTCTGGTGCCGGATTCACGAAAGTGTAAAAGAAAGAAAATCTTCTTAAATGTGTTTTTTCTAAACTTTATTCTTGATGGAAAAGTTATGAGAAGTAGTTATTCTTTAAATAACGTCTGAGGAACTTTCTAATTTATTTAACTCCTTTCTTAAGAACGATTCTACGAACGAGTGTTTTTCTTGAAAACTTGTTCTTCAGTGTTTTCTTAACCTCCCGACAGACTCACTCGTCTCAGCCCGTAAGAGCTGACGAGATTTCATCTAAATCAATTATCAAGCTCAGCGCTGCCGCTGCTCCTCATCCTCGTCTCTCTTTCTGCCGTCACGTCACAGTTATCGTATTTTCTAGGGAGGATTTTTTTCCTGTTTCTTCCTCCATCATCTCTGCTGCTGTTTGCTACATTTTTTAAACACTTGTTTTGATGATTTTCCTCCATTTTGCTCCTCAGAGTTGACTAAACTAAACAATGGAAAAAAGCCCTGCTGGAAAACAACAGAAACCATTAAGTGTTTCTGTTGGTTCCTTATTTTTTAACGTTGTGTAATGTGTTTTGGCTTTTTTGATGCATTAATTTCACAGTATAAAGGATCCTAATGGTTTAACAGGTGACCAGTGGCTGATTCTAAACACATTTGATGGTTTCCAAATGGGATCTAAAGGTTCTACAGCAAAACAGTGGTCTCTAATCTAGCTTTTAGTTTTTAATGTATTTAACTATCCTAATTTAATTTCTAATTAGATTTTTAATTTAATGATTCTTTAATCATGTTTACATTACGATTTTAATGTTGTTTTTAATTGTTTTTCTGTTTGCGTTTACTTTTTTAAAAACGACTCTGTAAAGCACTTTGAATGACAGCAGTTTACGAAAGGTGCTATATAAATAACCTTGCCTTGCCAACTGGAAACCATTGAGCCAATTTCCATCAGAAATCAAAACCATTAGGTTTTAATCTTGATAGTTTTTAAGCACAGACAGTTAAAACAAATGTATCTCATGTTGTTGATGGTGAGCTGTAAATTGCAACAGATTATCTTAAGACAATATTTGAGAAATAAATTTTTTTTTTGAGAATTGCATTTAAGAACATTTGCATAAACTTCTTAACGTTTATCTTAAGAAGCTTCGCAAGTTTTTCGTCAAGTTTTTGTGAATCCGGCTCCAGATTTCCAATTCTGTTTTGCTGAAAGGGTTAAATGGGATGACTGGTTTGCGTGAGGCAGTGCCTGGAGTCCAGGCTGAACTACTGGCTGGAGACTGAAGCTAATCAGCCGTGGACTGAAGCTTGAATGTGAGGTTCAAGTGGTTCTCCATCTGATTACAGTAGTTGAGAGTGACTGATTTAAAAGATGTGGGTGGGGTTCAGCATCGAAAAATACAGGCCGTGTCAGAGGCTGCCAGTGCACCAGTGTATTTTATATTCCAACAGGAAAAACAAAATCCAGTTAAACTTGGCAACAAAAATCTGATAAATTCCGAAAGCCTAAAAGCCGTTACCCACGAGGAGGGATATCATTTCGAAGAGCACTAAGGAAGACAGGAGAAAGGTGCACAGTGTACTGGGGGGGTGAACTACAATGGGTCTTACTGCTATAAACAGGTAGCAAAACAGGATGACCTATGAAAGATGGCCCTTAAGATTTAAAGTCACTTAATCCAAATATTTGGCTTGATTTCCTCTCCCACCCCATCCGTCCATCCACATCCCCTCGAGAAAACCTTTTAAACTGAGCAGCGGCTCAGGACCACTTTTAAAGATTTTTTAAAGATATTTCACATCCTAATTCCCATAAATAGAAAAAAACGAAAGAAGAAGAATCACTCAAACAAGGAAACGAGTCTAACAGACCCGCTAAACTCCGCAGCAGTAAAACTGGAGAGCAGAGAAAAGAACATCATCATAAACCCGGATATGTGTTTAAGGTCTCGGTCGCTGTTTTCATCTTCCCATTCGCTCACATCCATCCACACACCTCCCCTGCATTAATCCAGCTTTTTCTCCGCTGGGCTCTTTTCCTCCTCCTCCTCATCTCCCTCCTCCTCCTCCTCCTCTTCAGGTCCCTCAAGCTTGGCCTGACGGCGCCGCTCCTCTTCTTCCTCCTCTTCCTCCTCCTCATCTGTCAGCCCCTCTCTCTTCATCAGCTCCATGTCCTCCGCGCCATCGTCAGACTCGGCCGTGCAGATCCCGTAGCACATCAGGCTGATGACTCCTAACGGCAGGCCGAAGAGGAAGCAGCCCAGCAACGGAGAACTGCGGAACACAGACTGGAGGAAACAGAAGAGAAGAGAACATTAGACTGACGGTGCAATCAACAGATACGAGCTGTGGAAACAGCTGACCGATCTTGCAGGGTCCAGCGGCATCGCTCCTGGGTGAAAACTAGTGATTTTAACGCTAAAGTTAGGCTACATTCTGGTGCACCTTGAGAATAAAATACAGGGATGACTGCTGTGGAATTATTTAATTCACAGAGTTCAACAAATACAAGTCACATTCACAATTTGTACTGATTTCTAACACAAAACTATCACTAACACAAAAGCTAGCAGTAAAAAAAAATGTGCTTGTTAACTGTAATAAACATAAAAACAAATTACTGAGTAGAAAAACTTTAGTTTTAGGGTGTGAATGCGAGTTTCGAAGTGTTTATGTTCAGCCGTCCTTAAAGAAAGCTCAAGCAAAGCAGAGCTCTCTCTTCTGTTGTGTTAATTTCATCGTTCATCATAATATTAAAAACTAAAATTAAAAATGAAACTAAACTAAAACTATTAACGCACTCTTAAAACTACTGAAACTAAACTGAAATCAAAAACCAAGAAGAAAAACTAAGTTAAAAATAAAAACTAATTAAACTACAGTAACCTTGATTTCTAGGTATCCTGACGTATTTGTTGAAAATGGTTGCTTATCACTCCAAAAGGAGTATAAAATTGGGCAGCCATCTTTTGGGACTCCCTATCTGTTATAAATACATAAAAATAAGCCACTCTGTTTATCTTCTGTGTTCTACTAGCTCCATGACAGCACATCGTGCTTGGACCCCAGTGGTTGCCTTGTGCTGTGTAAATGGTAGACGGCCGTGACGCCCCCACAGCGGTTACGACGTTCTACAGAAATCAGCTAAATCAACTTCAGACACAATCAAAGCAGTGGCTGTTTGTCCTGGTTGAAAATAATAATAATTTACACATATTAACAGTTTTTATTCAAAGGTTGAAACTACTAGAAAAAGAAATCCGAACATGCAAAAACCAACTTCACCCACGAGGCGGCTCTTCACATTTCCGTAATGTTGTCTCCTGAAAATTAAATACTATATCCATACTATATACTACAGCTGTATAATGAGCGTCTGCTGCTGTGAAGTGTTCGAGGGAGAGGAGGGAGTGATGTGACCCCCCCCCCTTCCCAAAATTAAAAACGCTTCAAATATACACAATTAATGTGAATCATATTCATCATTAAAACAGGAATTTCGCCAAAAGGTGTTAATTTTGCACGTATGCACAACCAGCAACAGAGCGCACGAGTGCAACAGAGAGCATGAAAGAAAGAAAGAAAAACAAAAAGAAATAAAGAGAAAGAAGAGATTGTAACAGAAACAGGAAGAGAGCACAAGAGTGACAGAGTGCACAAAAGAAAAAGAAGAAAAAAAAGAAACAGAAAGAAAGAAGGAAAAAAAAAAGACTCCAACAGAGAAACAGCAAGACAGCACGAGTGAGTGCACGAAACAGAAAGAAAGAACAAGAAAGAACAAAAGTGCTAAAGTGAAATGGTGAGAAAAGGAAGAAAGAGAGTGCAAGAGCACAAGTGTCAGTGTATGAAAAGGCAAAAAATGAAGGAAAAAAAGGAAGAATGGCAAACAGAGTGAGAGCGAAGGAGAAAGCCAGAGAGAAAGAAAGAAAGAAGAGACAGTGAGGAAAAGAGGAGCAGATGAATGAACAGAAGAAAGAAAAAGAATTATTGACAATGTGGAGCTGAAAGAACTGAAACGCAAAATGAGAGGAAAGAAGAGGAGGAGGAGGGTGGAAGAGAGGAGCAGAGTGGAGGAGGGTGGAAGAGAGGAGCAGAGTGGAGGAGGGTGGAAGAGAGGAGCAGAGTGGAGGAGGGTGGAAGAGAGGAGCAGAGGGAAGTGCAGGAGCAGAGAGGAGCAGAAGGGACAGAGATTTATGTACCTGGTGAGTTCAGTACTGAAACACCTCTATGCGATTCATAAAGCTCCTCTGACCCGACACGACAAACTAATTCACCCAGATCTCAGCCCAGCCCAGCCCTCTCTCTCTCCATCTCTCTCTCTCTCTCTCTGATTCCTCTCCTCCTCTCACTCTGTTCATCCCCGCCGTTACATCATCACTCCACCAGCTCAGTACGAGGACCCTCCACATTTCACTGAAAGCATCAGTGGCCGATTTCACCAGCTGTGTAAGTTCAGACGTAGACTGGTTGTACCACAAGTGCTTACTAAGCTCAGGTTTATCATCACTAAATCAGAACGAGCTGCACCACAAACTAGTTTTAACGCTGAGTTCAGTAGCTTATCAGCGTTTCTGAAGTTGCGCGTTTCTGTATCTGCAGCTCGTTTGTGAAACGTAGCGTCGTGTCGTCATCTTGAGTGTTTTCTGTGTTTGCAGCTCATTTTTATTCGCGGTTTGTTGGGTCTTCTAAGCCACCACTGGCGAACAATTAAAAAAACGTACTCAGTCTGAAAAATAAATGGTTTCGATGCATCGTCGCTTCTAACGGTATGTGCTGGCAACGTCCTGACATCTCTCTGCCGTTGCGTGTATGAATTAATTTGATCTCTGCCATCTGAGAAAATATCTTGAAAATTTGTATCGCGATAACGATAAAAATACGGTTTATCGTGCAGCCCTAATTGGAAGGTTCATCAAACATCATGAAACTACAGAATAACTACAGCAGAACAAAAAGGGAGAAGGTGGTGGTATTGAAGGAAAGATGAAATGGGGGAGGGAAGGAGGGAGGAAAAGAGAGAGAGAGAGAATTCCATGTGAAACCTGTAGATGTTCTGAAGGCTAAGACAGATGATAATGGGCCGTGTTCATGCAGGGTGAAGGGAAATGACTCCACGCTGCAAATCCCACCTGCATGACTCACTGGGCCTAATGGTGCCAAAGCAGCAGTTCCACTAATGCCCAGCTCAGCCCAGCAGCAGCCCGAGCTCCGAACATGACCCTCTTCAGCTCCCTCATTCAATTCAGCACTGCAGTCCGCCAGACAGCCAGAGAGCGGCTAGGCTGGATACGGAGGCTATGACTGAGCTCTGTCTGTGTTCCAGCAGGAGTCAGAACAAGACACCTTATTACTATTAGCACTTTCACTGTTACTGCTGACAGAGCAGGAGCTGTGATTCAGGTCTGTCACCTTTCCTTGACTCGAAAAGCGTGATCTGGAGTAACTTCACTCTCCAAGGCGCTTGGTAAAAGAAAAAACTGTAGAAAAGAGTGAAACCAGTGCGTTTCGGCACAGAGGCCTTCATCAGGGTTGAAAGGAATAATGATTGCATTGTTGTTTAAAAAGATTTTTCTAAATTTCTGTATAATTCAGTGAGTGAGACGTAATCAGAGTGATTCGGAGTGGTTTGGTGTGAAATGGTTCAGATGTCTTTACAGTGGTGGTGATAGGAACCAGGGGTCGCCATGACTACAACACAAATATAGACATTTTATTTACTATCCAGAACCACCAGTGAACCTACACGAGTCTTCTGAGTTTATATGGAATGTTGATGATGGAAAATAGTGGAAAATCTGAAATAATTATTTGGGGGGTATTTTGCCTCAGAACCCCCTTTATGTATCCCTCCACCATGGATGGACTAAATTTATTAAAATACATTTTAGGCCAAATTTTAACACAAAACTATCATAAAACAGTGTCTCAGTCATCAGGCAGTGAATTCATAACCATTTCATGTAGGAACTTTCTGTGAGGGAGCTTTTAGAGGTGGACGTCTGGTTCCTATCACCACCACTGTGAACAGTTCTGAGTCGGCAAGTTTCTCTAGAACGGAGCGTTTCACACCAAACCACTCTGAACGACTCTATTTACATCTTAACCATTTAATTATGTAGGATTTTTTGAAAAATTGGTGGAGTTCCCCTTTAAGTACAAAAAGAACAGGAGGTTCATCTGCTAAAATGTGGTGGTCTTGCCCTGCTGCGAGTCTCCTAGTAAAGCCTGAAATATTCATTCACTAGTCAGAGCTGTCGGGTCGGAGTTTATCAGAACATGTCAGACGTCTTTATGTACTGACACCACACGCACAGACTCAGACAGAGGGTCTGGCTCGATATGGGCTGGTTAGCTGAGCAGCACTGGTTTTGGGTGGGGGGGGGGTGGGGTGTCTCATAGTGCTGAAAGTCAGTGGAAGGAGAGATATCACGGAATATGGTGAGAGCTGCAGAGCTCCAGGTAAGACCAGAAGCAACGGTGGCTTGGCTTGCAGTGGTGACCTCTCTGTGACCTGTCTCCAATTCCCCAAATTTGCCAAATTTAGCTTTAAAAACAACCAATAAAATGGCTGCAACACCCGTGTCTTTATATGATCTTCCAATCAGAGCAAGGGAAGTTACAGAGTCAATCAACAGGCACCTTACCCATCTAAAATAAACTACCTTCCGCTCGTATTTAAGCGTAACAGACATTCAAAATACATTTGCTCTGACTGGAAGATACTATAAAGACATGGGTATTGCAGCCTTTTTGATTGGTTGCTTTTAAATTGTACTTCCTGTTCTTTGTGTACTGTGAATTCTCCAGTCATCAAGTGATGGTGATTCCAGTCTTTTCTACTAATACACGATTTGACATTTTCAATTAAATTTATCTTTTAGGTTTTGGCCTAAAATTTATTTATTGTTTTTAAATACAGTCACATGCAGGGTACTGAGAGGCAAAATAGTCCCCAAAGAAAACTTATTATTTCAGATTTTCCACTATTTTCCATCATCAACATTCCATATAAACTCAGAAGACTCGTGTAGGTTCACTGGTGGTTCTGGATAGTAAATAAAATGTCTATATTTGTGTTGTAGTCATGGCGACCCCTGGTTCCTATCACCACCACTGTAAAGACATCTGAACCATTTCACACCAAACCACTCTGAATCTCTCTGATTACATCTCACACACTGAATTATACAGAAATTATAAAAATCAGTGGAATTTGAGGAATAATCATAGCTGTTAAAGCGCCGTTGTGAACTGTGCTAATAGCGGTTGCCTTTGTCAGGTCTTGTGA